TTTTTTCTTTTTTTTTTCTTTTTTTTTTTTTTTTCTTTTTTTTTTCTTCCCTGCCTTGTTTTTTGTTCTTTTTTTCTTTTTTTTTTCTTTTTTTTTTTTTTTTCTTTTTTTTTTCTTCCCTGCCTTGTTTTTTGTTCTTTTTTTCTTTTTTTTTTCTTTTTTTTTTTTTTTTCTTTTTTCTTTTTTCTTCCCTGCCTTGTTTTTTGTTCTTTTTGTCTTTTTTGTTCTTTTTTTGTGTGTGTTTTCTTTTTTTTTTTGATTCTTTCTTTTCCCACTAGTGTGGGCATGTATTGTTTAAGAATATTATTATTATCAATATCTTTAAATAATAATTACAGTCAAATGAGAATGGATATATGACGATGGTGATATGTATGAATATCTGAGTTAAAATGCCTGAGTTAACATGAGTTATGTTTGTTGACTGTGGAGGAGATGTACGAAAGTTTATTTGTGACCGACTGATACACTTTCTATAGCATGTAAAGAAAGATGTTGTACTTGTTTTAAATTAAAATTAAAAAAAATTTTTTTAATTAAAAAAAAAAGTAATGTGGTCTGGCATCAAAGGTGGGTTGCTACCGGTTGAAGTGAACCGGTAGTGGAAATTGTGACTAGGTCGCCGAACCGATAGGGACAGCAGGCTGGCCATACCCCCGAACCGGTTCCCTTGTTGCTTTTTAGTCATTTTATAATGGTCTGTGCATGCGCAGAACAATTTACAGGCAATTATGCATGCACAAGCAATTTGCGACAGGCGTGCATGTGAACCAAGCAAACCGGCAGTAACGCCACCAGCAACCCACCTCTATCTGTTTTTGTCAGCTTTTTGATTCTCCTGGAATAATTTTAAAAGCAGAGTTTTAAAAAGTTTTTTAAAAATCAATTTTTTTTGTCCATCTAATTTTTTGTTTCACAGCTTTAGCCAGTCCCTGAATTTATTTTTGTATAGCTTTTATAGACTCCTCTAATTGAGCCATTGGATTTTATCCATGTGGCTGATAAAAATCAGAAACACAGTTTTTATAGTGGTTCTATATTTTACTATAGGAATGATACATAATGAACCTTAATAATAAACTAATAATAATAAACACCCTACAAAAAAGGTCCTAGACTTATCCATGTTTGTATTATCCCTCTTTATATGCAATTGCCCTATCTAAAACAAATAATGAATTAAGAGTTGGAGCCACCAGGAGATTGTTCGTAGATGACTGAATTACTTAAGTTTTGACACCAAAATCATCTTGGCATGTTCATAATTTAGATTTGGCTAGAGTAATTTTCAAATGCAATTATTTAACAATCAGGCAGGCAGGGTTTTTATAAAACAGGAGTGAATTTAAACCCTTTTCTTCCAGTTCCTCCCTCTCTGTGTTCTTCTGACTTTGTTCCTATTGTGCTGACTCACTTCCCTTTTTATTCTTTACATTCGGTCAACATGGTCTCTATCGTATTATGCTGAGTCACTTCCAACTTGCTATTTTCCCATTTCAATGTTTTGCTATATTTTATTTATTTAATTCATTTATATAGCCACCCATCTAATAACCAACTCTGGGCGGCTCCCAATCAAAAGTTAAAACAGCATAATAGCCATATTAAAACTATAAAACTAAGCACATTAAACCTGCCACCAAATCAAATATAATCCACTATCTCTCATCATTAAAATAGCAACTGCAATAGCACTTAGACTTATATACCGCTTCATAGTGTTTTACAGCCCTCTCTAAGTGGTTTTACAGAGTCAACCTATTGCCCCCAACAATCTGGGTCCTTATTTTACAGACCTTGGAATGCTCATCAGCAATAATACATTTTGTTTTCCACTGTGTTTGCCTATACATTATATCAGGGGTGGGTTCCAACTGCTGCCACTGCCGGTTCATTCAGGGACGTGCTATGCGCACATGTGCAGTACTGGAAAAAAATGCTTCTGCTAAATGCTAAATATGGTTCCAAAGCTTTAAAGCCGAAGGCACACAAGATGTAAAGACAAACAAACCACCTTATGATTTTCTCTGACGTGTGAACCCAGTCGTTAGTATGTATTCATTTATACACATTACACATATTAAGATCTAATTTTAAACCAAGCATATAAAGATTGTAGTTACCAGTAATGTCCAAACTGGGTTTGTGTATATTAGCCGCAAGGACATTCACACGCGTTCCCATTGCCCAGGCTGAGTAATATTGAACAGCAGACAAAAGGGGTAGAGTATTTAACCAAGCAGTCGGAAAAAGGATGGTGTCCACCTTGAATTTTTCCACCAATGAGATGGCAGGTTCACGAAAGTTAAGCATATCAGCGCAAGTGAAAACACCAAACTTCCCAAAGGAGGTGTTGAAGTTGACAAACTGTGGCTCCTTCGCAAAATTGAAGTGGATTTCTGAGGCAAAAAGGTTGTACTGTTTATAAAAAGGGGAGCGGAGAGAGAGAGAAAGACAATTTATATCATTAGAAGAAAATTATTCCCATAAAAACAAGGATGAACACATGTGATGCTGATGTTTTTCTAGTAGATAGTTATTGCTTTCCTTTACAATGTTATAAAAGAATCAATCAGTGAAAACTAAGGTCTTGAGAATACCTGGATTTTATATTCTCAAAATGAAGAAGTTAGCCACTGAATGTTTCATGCTTCAAGTAGCACTTGGAGCAATTCTTTCTCCTTGAAGCTTTTATGGAAATGTCAGGTGAGAGTATATGTTTCTTTTAATTCAAATACAGCAGTATTACTTTGAATTTTGTACTGTGTTTACACAGAGGATTGTCTGACTGATAGGGCTACCATGTTTAGATAGCAACTAATGGACATTACAACATTTGAAGCCTATATTAGTCATCCTAATAATAGTTACCTTGTGATAACGGACCAGAAACTTTCCTTCTGAATCATAAACAACATTGGTATTGTACTGATAGCGACCATCACTGGGACACTTAGGATCACTGGAGTTGCACGGTTTTTTGTCGCCCATATTGGCAACCACATAGATGCCATAATTCTTTGCCATGCAACTAAGCCTTTTCTGCACTGGGTTAAATCCAAACCTAAAATGGAAAGGAAGAATTGAATGAGAAAGGCAGTATCCAGGAACTAGAAACCGGGTAGATCGATCCACAGTGCAGACATACTAGCTTGGTAAATGCATTCTTGCCGAGCTGGGATAAGGAAGGAAGGAAGGGAGAAATTTAAATGCTGATTGATTCAGAAGGAGCAGGTGGGAGAAGTCAGCAGGATAAATGATGAAAACAGCACTGTACCATCATGGTGCACATTTTGCCCCCTTTGCATCTTAATATTGCATGCCTGGATCAAAGGGTTGGAGCTTATATCATGCAATTGCTGGTTTTCATTTTGATGAAAGCCTCTGATTCTACAAATACTTTTGTTCAGAAGTATTAAAAGCCTTTAAGATATTTTTTTTTGAGTAAGCAGAAATGAATAACATATTTTCAAGGAAACATTAAGCAAAAATGATATATGGACGTCTTACTATCAATATATTAGTAGTGGCTAGAAAAGTGACCCCAAAAGAAGAGGCAAATTTATTATCTGTGGCCTGATACATATTTTGTTTGTGTCTTCATAACATATATCAAGATTGAGGCTTGTATATTATTTTACAGTGTATACATTATTCTACATACTACTAAAACTCTCATCATGATCTTTAACTGGGTGAAGCATTGCATTAGCCTGCCAGTAATTCTAGATTGGCAATTCTGAGAATTTCTAGTCTCAGTCATCAGGCCGTCCTGATGGAGGAATTCCTGAGAGTTACAAGACCCATACTTCTGGGTCAGGGGTGAAATGCTCTGAAGTCTGCTATCGTTCGCTTTGCTACCTGTAGTACAAAATGCTACTGGTTCTCCAGTCCGAACCAGTAGCATTTCACTCCTGTTCTGGGTGACACAGCTGACCAGAATTCTAGAGTTAACTAATATCATAACATCCCTGACAGCCCTAAGACAGAACTGGCTGTGACCTTGCTATAAATATTCATCCAAATTGTTGAGCTTCAGTTACTCATCTTGACTGAGGGCAACCTTTCCCTTAATATTATCTATAAATATTTCCCTGTAAATGATACAATGGTGACAAGCTGGTTTTTTTTTTAAGGTTGTTGAGTTTCACTGGTGCCATACAGCTTGGATTGTAACAGTGGTGTGCTGAAGCTGTTTTGTATCTGGAATTTTTCTTTTGAGCCAATTTGGCACACAGCCACCATGCCTAGAGTGCCAATCAGCTGTTCCACAGTTAGGGGTTTGGCAGTGGTGATGAAGCCAGTAGAACTGGTTCTTAAACATTCAGCAGCACATCACTGCCTGTAAGTGACTAACCGTGCAAAACAGGGAGTGTCTGCTGTTGTGTTACTATGACCTTTTATTAATAAAGTGACTCAAATTCACTGAATTCTTGACTGTGCCTGGGTAGGGATTTGTTTTACCCCGTCATGAAGCAGATAGGATGTTCTCTTGTGAGCTCTGGTACCTCTGGCTTGGATACACAGTCCTTTTAGCTTCTTCAGGAGGCTGGGGAGGGAGGAGCAGCTGGGTCTAGGAGGTATCGATACCCCATTAGGAGAGGGGATCATATTACTCATCACCTTGAAGATGGCATTGGATTGGCCCCTGATGAAAAGAATTCTCTGGGTTCAGCTATACTGGACAATTACTGTCCCACACTTTTTTCTAGGAAAAACTGCTGGAAACGTGGTAGGACTTGAATTACAGAGTGCCCTAAAGGCAGTGGTGAATTTCATTTTTTTTTTACTACCGATTCTGTGGGCGTGGCTTGGTGGGTGTGGCAGGGGAAGAATGCTACAAAATCACCATTCTGTCCCCACTCCTGGAGGAAGGATATTGCAAAATTTCCATGCCTACCCCACTCTGGGGCCAGCCAGAAGGGGTATTTACCGGTTCTATGAACTACTTAAAATTTCCCCTACCGGTTCTCCAGAACCTGTCAGAACCTGCTGAATTTCACCCCTACCTAAAGGGAATAAATTGTCTGGACTCCTTACACATCTCAGTTCAGACCAGGGCATCAGAGGGAAAAAGGTTCAATTGTTTTGGTGGATGACATTTTTCAAAACGTAGACTGGGAAAATATGCCCTTTCCAAAACAGCTTCTGGTTTGATTCCATTGAACATGGGATCTTTTGATTGGCTGAAAGAGTTCGGAGTATTTCTCTACAATAATTCTGATCTGTTCTAAGTAGGTAACAGCAGTTGGTGGGTGACAGGGAACAGAAGTTTGCTCACTTTAAAGATGCTCCATATCACCCATACTTCCATAAAATTCTTGGAAGAGGCTACCCATTGCTTTGGATTGAATCAGTGGTATGGAAAGTAATGAAGATAAACTTGATGAAGCTAGGCAGAAGCTGTTGCTTAGGCAAAAGGGGATTAAATATTTTTCATCAGAATGTCCAGATGATATCTGGAAATTGTATAAGCAGATATCCCCACTGCACTGGAGTGAAAAAAGAGGAAAGTGGTACAGATAAATTAGATTTGCAAGTTTCTATTATTATAGCCAGTATCAATTAAAGCAGTATCAATCCGCATCGTCACAGTGGTGTCACGTGACATATCAGGACTCCACCCCCCTTTGCTAAACCAGGGGTGGGCATGGCCAGCATGTGATGCACCCCAGCCCATGGGCACAAGTTTGACACCCCTGAATTAAAGTATCCTAAACTTTCTGGCGGAGTTGATTTGATGGTCTGGTCTACCTAGTGGGGCTAACAACTCTGCTGATAATATCCACATATTTCAACCAGAGTCAATCCAGAAGTCCAGTGGATCCTGATCTGTTGTCTACGGGCTAGATGGGATATCACAGGCAGAAGGTGAATTCCACCAAGAAAGGAATGTTGTTTGTTCAGAAAACATTTTTTTAGCTCTGTATATGCTTGGGCCATAATATTCAGACAGGGCAGCACTTCCCCAAAGGAAATTAACTTGATTTTTTACAGAGAATTGTGCTCTCAGATATACAAAAGCTCAATAAACCAAGGAATTTAAAATATAACTACATTACATGGGGAAAGCTATTGCTATATTGCCACCTAGTGACAGAAATCTGGACAGGCAAGTTTACTTAACAATTCAGTCTGGAACAATATTTTTAGAACTCCATAATTCTCAACATAAACTAATAAAAGAAATCTGCAAAATGTGTATGAACATTTTCTCTCAGAGACTTGTTTAATCATGGCAATATACTTCCCAAAGAACCCAGCTTTAATAAATTAAATTCAGAATGGTTTTTTTTAATGAAAAATCAAATTTCACCAGGAATCACTGGCAAAACTCACATTTTAACAGCATTTTCTAATTGCATGTGCAAATTTATTCAAACAAAATCCAAGAAAAGCATAATATAATATTTTATATATGAGGTAAATAAAGTTGTGTGGCTATTCTTAATTATCCAACCGACAATAATTCTACCCTTACAGTACAAATGCAAATTGGAATCACTGTTGTATGCGTACAAAAGCATTAGAAAAACCCACTGTTAGTTCACTATAAGAATGGAGAAGTAACCAAGACTCATTATACTACTTTGTTTATCAAGCTCATTTATTAAATTTTGCAACCAATCACACTAGTCAAAGTGACTCTCTACCTTCAAGGAGATTCTACTTAGATTTGATGAGATTACCTTTCTGGATCATTGCACGGAATCCAGTTTACTTCAGGATCTGGTATATCCTCAAGATAAGGATAAATTGTTTCCCGAGTAAAGACCCACCCATAAATGCCATCTTCAGAGGTCACAATGATACGGGCTCCCTACAAAAAGAAAAGAGAAGAATGCCAGTTCAGTTAAGAGACTCCACTGCTTCCAAGAACAAAGAAGGTGGAACTTACTATCCCTGCATCTGTTGTTACCTGTTCAGCAGCTGTCTTGATGGCTTCTTCTAAGATGTCTAGATTTCTGTTCATTAAGTTCAGGGCTTCTTCTGGAGAGACAAGTTTGGGGGTGGGTCCTGTAAGTATAACAGCATGCTCATAGATGGCAGCAAGGAATGTTTCCACAGCAGAGGCCCCAAGAATAGCCCCAGTCAGGAAGACAACCCAAAAGTGAGGCTGGAAGGCAACCATGCTTGCAGAGCCAGATTCTGGCTCAGACTGATACCAAATGGGAAGTCTGTTTAGCTTAATAAGAAGGGAGGGATGGGGTTATTTGGTGAGTGACAATTTACCTGTTACATCACCAGCTACTCTAGAGGAAGAGTAGATTGCTAAACACAGTGATTACCACATTATATACTTTGTACTCAAACTTCCTGAAAGTAGAAATATCTTTATTAAGAAACATATTAGAAGAGACAAAGGCAGCATTCAGTTCCTGAAATGAAGTCAGTTTGAACTACCTGACACTGTAACTGGGAAATTTCCCATTCTTGATAGAAGAAGTCAACCAATTACTTTCTATTCCGCAATCTGATCAGAAACATAACTTTTTCTAAAAAAGTTATCAGAGATAATAAGAAATGTATAAGCTGTTAAGCCAGTACATACTAGATTTCAGTAACCTTCCTTTCTCTCCAGAGTCACTTTTGCAGGGTGGGGGGGATTCCCCCTTTTGCTAACAGGCTCCTTTTTGTGGTTTACTGCTCTTTTTTAAAGTGGCTTATTCAGCAAATCATAATTAATAACTTTGACTTAGCATCATACATGTACAAGAAACTCACCAGATAAGAGACAGTAAAACAAATGCAACAAGTGTTTTCATGAACAAAATACAACAATTATCTTAGTGTTCTCAAGAAAAAATAAATAAAAAGAATAAAATAAAATAAAAAATCAATCCCCAGCTACGCATAAAGAAATTCTGCTTGAAAGTTTGGCAAGGTCTAAAGAGGCATCTGATAACATTAGTTACCAAGTGCTCATGGTTCCAGGATCCAGCAGTTTTCAACATTTGATGACTTTCTGATTGCAGCTTCCTTTCTGGCACACTTTCTGGTAGGCTTGAAAATAATTTTTGTTTGTCCCCTTAATGTATTTCTTATCAATAAAAGTCTTTTTTGGTTAAGGTTACAAAGCCTGCTTTACAGATACTTGGTGACATTCTAAGATTCTCATTCTCAAAAATGCACCCACCCGCACACAAAATGCTTCTAAAACAGTTTTTCTTCTATAAGTTATATAAAAGTTAGAAATCAAATTCTTTAAAATTACAACATATTCTTCTTCTTTCTATAATCTATCTGTCCTAATAATCAAAGCTATAAATCACAAGTTTTTTTTCATTTTTATGCAAAAAGTCCATAAGAAACTTCCAGTCATCAATAAATGTAGGTCACATCGCACTCATGTCAAAAGCATTGAAGTGCTTCTGGATTGAAAGGATTAGCCAGTGACATCACTGCTGTCCGGGGAAAGTCCAGGTTGGGGATACCCAGTGTCGTGTCCCCACCAGGAGCTGGAGCGAAGGATGGGAGCTCACTCCATCCTTTACAGTATCCTTCCCCCAGGAGTGGGGAGGGAATGGGAATTTTGCAGTATCCTTTTCCTACCATACCCACCAAGCCATATCACGCCCACAGAACTGGCAGTAAAAAATTTTTTGAATACCACTACTTGTTATCTTAATAGCTCTTCCCTGGAGTAGTTTGTCAGTATGATTTTGGACTGCAATGTCCAAAATTGGCAGAGCTTTCCAAGTGGGATCCATCTGAACAAGTCAGGATGAAGTGTGGAAGTTACCTCATGCAATCTGGCCTTTATAACTATGTTAATACACTCAAATAGTATTTGTCTTTTTAGCACCCAGGACATCCAGATCTTTTTTATAATTTCTACTAATCCACCCAACCTTTAATCTTTTTTTTCCCCCTGATGTAGACTTGACATTTTTCTCTCTTAACTATCATCCTGCTTGTTCTGCCTGGCTGTATGCTTTTAAACTTTTCTTTTTTAAGCTGTAGCTACTTCTAATTTTATGTCTTGCAAATTTGATAATTAACGCCTGAATCCTTTTATCCAGTTTATTAGTAAAAATATTAAATGGCACAAGGTCTTGAAGAGGAGCCCCGAGAGGCTCCCCTCAATATTCTTCAATTTAATATATAGCTTTCATGAGCCTTCATGGCTATGGTCAGTTGGTCAATTATCAATCAATAAAACACTTGTATCATTCTCCACCAGGGGTTTCCAATCTTGGTAACTTTAAGATGTGTAACTTCAGCTTCCAGAATTTCTCATCCAGCCACGTTTGGGAACCCCTGATTTAGGCCACTTTTTACTATGTTATTAATGAAAAGTTGATTGCAAATATACGTAATATATGCAAATACAACAATAAGATGCATCAATATCAAGTTCAGTAGCAGAACAGCGCATACAACAATAACATTTACAAAGTGCAAAATTCGTAGTATTATTAATGAAAAGTTGATTGCAAATATACGTAGTTTACCTCCTGCAATGCCTCTGTGGCACTCCAGCTGCTCGGCGGAGCATCGCGCAGGCCTGTATGCTCCGTGCGCATGTGTGGAAGTGCTGAAGAGCTCAAATACAGGTAAGGAGGGTGGGCGGGCAGGTGGGCCCTCCAGAATACCGTACTGAAACAGTACCCGGTGCTCCTGCCGCACACTAGTACGCCTGTACCGCCTGCAACCCACCACTGCCGCACAGCATTGAAACACCAGTGATTATATAGGACGTGACAGTGCCAGGGCAGCTGGGTGGGCCCAGCCACTGGTTGGAACTACGAGTTTGCCTGAACCGGTCCGAACTGGCAGCAGCCCACCAATGGTTGATAGTTTGATTCCTGGATAGATCTGAAAACTAATTTCTAAATCAATTCTAAGGAAGGCTTATCTATATCAGAATATTAATTATAGAGGCTATGAAAGCATGGCTGGGCAAAATATTTGTTCTTAAATTAAAGAAACTACTAACGTCTGAGAGCTTTGTTTTTGCAGAATGGGACAACTTACTGCAGCCAATTCAGACAACTTCCTGTGACCAACACACCATGGGACAACTCGCCATGGGAAATCCACGTGGGTAACTCAATGCAATAAATATTATCCACCACCGTTTCTTCTCATTAATTCAATTGACAAAAAAAATCTTTTCCTCTTTTCCTTCTGTGGTCATCTGGCCAAGCGTGACTATACACCAAAGTGCACGGAACACAGTCACCTTCCTACCAAAGTGGTACTAATTTATTTATTTGCATTTACATGCTTTCGAACTGCTAGGTTTGCAGGAGCTGGGGTAAGTAACAGGAGTTCACCCCATTGCATGGGTCTCAAACCTGGGCTGTCAGCTTTCCATCTGACAAGCTCAGCACTTTTAACTGCTAAGCCATGGCACCCTTTTTTTCAAGTTAGAACCCTTTAAAATGAATATCATTTCTTTCCCTTGAACTAAAACTTGCTTGCTCACTTAGGGAAATTAATTTTCCAGTTAAGTGGTGCATGATAAGTACTAAGAGTACCAACAAGATGCCTAGTAGATCTCTCTCTCTCTCTCTCTCTCTCTCTCTCTCTCTCTCACACACACACACACACACACACACACACACAATCACAAGCATTTCATTTTAAAACAAAGCTTGCCTTTACTGCTTATCTTCTCAAACATCCTTCAGTTAATGGATACTGGAGTAGATTAGTTCAACACTATAATGCGCCTCACCCCCAATCATTGACTGTGAAAGGACATATTTATTTATTTATTTATTTATTTATTTATTTATTTATTTATTTATTTAATCGATTTATAGGCCGCCCAATCCCGGAGGACTCCGGGCGGCTTACAACAAAAGAAAAAAGAAATAATAAAAATGAAAATAAAAATGATGGAGGAAGGAGCTTCAAGCACCTACAGTACTGCACATACATCTGACTAATGGGCATTTGCCCCCCCTCTTTAAATGAGCAAAATGTGCTCTATGTTGCTCACACAAAGAAGTAGCAGAAGTTTGCAAGCCAAAGGCTGTGATTTAAGTATGCACTTCATGTCAAACATTTGCTGCACTTTTGGAAGTCTAAGCTTTAAATGTACATTGAGTTCTTTGACTATGAGCTTTGGTATGTACGGCAGAGGTGGATTGCTTCCAGTTTGGCCCAATTCAGCTGAACCAGTAGTGGGGGGCAGGAGGCTCCACCCACTCACCCAGACACTTCTGCGCATGCACAGAAGTGTTGCGCACGTGTGAGCACAAGCAAACCGGTTAGCAACCGACACTGATGTACGCTTTCTGTTTCTTCTGTCTTGATATTGACTTTCAGAGAGTGTCTTTAAAAAGGAAAGATACAAATGCATGTACAGAATGCAGTTCCATATCAACACCCAGTGAACTGACCAAGTCAAAATAGGATCATTTGAAATAATACTTTATTGGTTTGCATTCTTTGTGCGTATCCCTATATCAAAGTATAAAAGTCACCTTTTGTGCAAAACACTTTTACCCTGTAAATCTCTTGGACAGTCTTTTCCAGTGCAACTTTTTCAGAAGACCACTATAGAAATGAAAAAAAAGGCTAAAACTGGAATGGCTTCTCTAATAATAAAATGGCATGTTATTGTCTAATTAGAGAGGCTAATGCTTTTATAATCCAAAGATTGTGATGGGGGATTTTGAAAGAACTACATTTCATGACTTTTCCTTGGTCTTTTTGCACATTATGCAAAATGAAGTTAGATTTCACTGGCAATGAGAAAAATATCTCATTCATTCAATAAAAGAGTCCTTTCTTGCTCTGAACCAAGATGGATTCCAGGATGGGACCTACGCAAAATGAAAAGGAAAAAAAATGTTCTCAGCATATTGGACACTACAAAGGCAAAGAGGCAATACATGCACACTTTTCTCATAATTGGGAATGTTTATTTTGCGTAAACCAATAAATGAATTGTATTATACTGTGGAAACTGGCTGCAAAAACAATGACATTGCTTTACAGAGTCCACTCACAGGTAGCTACAATTTTTTCTTTTGTCTGATTTATGTGGGAAACCCAGAAAGGAGCACTGCTGTAAAGAAGGTGTTACGTGGCAGCTTCACAGGACTCTGGAAGGAGTGGCTTATCTGGATCCCTTTCAATCAGGATTCAGGCCTGGGTATGGGACTGAAATAGCATCGATCACACTGATAGATGACCTCTGGAGGGAGCAGGATGGGTGTGGGTGCGTCTGTTGGAAGACCTCTGGCAGGAGTGGGATAGGGGTGGTGCATCCATCCTTGCTCTTCTTAACGTCTCAGCGGCTTTTGATACCAACAAACGGCATCCTTCTGGACTGGTTCCAGGAGTTGAGGGCGGAAGACATGATGTCTTCCTTCCTCTGGGATTGGTTTCAATTAGTGTTGATAGGGGAGAAGGGATCCAGCCCACAGACCCTACTTCGTGGGGTGCCGCAGAGCTTAGTACACTCCTGTTTAATATCTATTTGAAGCCGCTGGGTGAGGTCATTTAACAGATTAGGTGAGATATCATTAACATGCTGATGATATTACTCAGTTTTAGAATTTTTTTTTTTTAGAATTTTAGAATTTTATTAACATTTATAGGCCGCCCTTTTCCCTGAGGGGACTCAGGGCGGCTCACATAAAATCAGGAGGGGG